TAAAACGTTTTATTAGAGACTTGTTCTAATTTTAAAAAAGATATACTCTACGATTTTAGTATAACGTGTCTCTGTCAAGAACGTTAAGTGTAATGGTGGCATTAACGTGTTGTTAATCGCATGATGATACATATATCTACTATCTCAAAAGGAAACGAGTTTCTTATGTGAAATTAAAAGAAAAAAATTTATATGCAATATCGGAAACACACACTTTAGCTGTTTAACGAGAGGTTAATAGCTTGCAAATCTATATTTTCATAATCGATAATTACGAAGAAAAACATTTCCTTTGACAAGTACTATCGGGACCGAGCGATATAAGCGTTTCACAGCCTAGAAGGATACCAGTGCAAGCGAACGTTTATTTCGTTCATCGATAACGAATTTATGAAGCGTAAAATATTAGCGTACTCTACTAATTGTATATTTAATTGAGTTTTATAATGGTAGCTGCTTATCATACACGACTTTTTGTTTATTAACGCTCCACTATTAACGCGATCCTCGTAAAATATCCCATCACATTTTGCTCATCCCGATCTGATCTTTTCCCGTTCGCCATTCCCATATTTCCTTTTTGAGATTATAACTCAAAAATACGACTGGTGGTTACAAGCTATTTTTTTCAAAACCCCCTCCCGTAACATCGAGCATGTGGGAGAGAGGTGTCGAAAAAAATGCAAAACGATAAATCCAAATTTCAACGTACGCATTGATCGCAACGTGCGTTTTCTTCCGCGCGAAACAGACGGTCCGAATTTTTCCACAAAAATCAAAAAATATCGGACCAAGTTGAAAAAACGACCATCGTTGATTGTTATTGTTCGTGGCAGATGCGGCACCTCGCGATTTCGACATTCGTGCAGTAAGTCGTTAAAAGAAAAAAAAAAAAACGCAAGTGAATGTAATTTGGCGATGTATCGTATATGTGTACGCGCGTGTGTGTGTATGTGTGTGGCGTTTGACATATCCTTTCTGGCAATATTATTTCTCACTCGACGAAAAAGAAGCGGCAGGATCGTATTCTTCGAGTTTAATAAAAAAAAAAATTAATTTTTCATTTTTAATCACACATCGCAAAATTAATAGATAAAATTGAAAAATCTATATTGCACGGTGTCACGCTGCTGGATTAACAAAAAAGAAACCGAAAGCTAAGAATCTTGGAATCTCATAAGATCTGAGAAGTCGTGACGCGTGGTGCTTGCCGTGGAGAAAACTCAAAAAAAAAAAAATAGCAGAGAGAGAAAAATCTAATATTTATGTAACCCTGTGATGTATTAGTATGATCTCAGTAAACATAACTTAGTGTGTACTTCTTATCTATAATAATTAGATTATGTATATGCGATAGAAAGCAAGAAATTGTGGCAGACATTTGGAAATTGTGTCGTAGAGTATAAAAATTAGAGATCACAGATTAGGTCGACGATTCCCGATATTTGTGCGTGCGTACGTGTGTGTGTGTGTGTGTGTGTGTGTGTGTGTGG